TATCACTGGAAATCGATAGAGTGAACCCAACAGCTTTACTAGCAATATCAGTAGCGGATAGCAGCAGCAGCACAGAATTGCAAACCAACACTTCACTCTTTGAGAGCAGCATTTTCAATTGGGGATTGGCCCACCTCAGCACATATGAGAAAGAAATTCAGATGATGAATCCCAATCAGCGGAAGAAATCAAGTGGCCTGATTACCTTCATAACCCATTATTAATGGCGGCTGTTTCCCAGCAATCATTTTACAAGGATATAAAATCAGAAACAAATTTCTTGACAGAAAGTTCAAATGGTATGTGGCCTCAACAACACCACCACCACCACCACCACCACCACCACCAGCAGCAGCAGCAGCAGCAGCAGCAACCATCGGGTTTACAAAATCCAGAGATATGCGGTAAGGATATACAGAGACTTACAGCTTCGTATGGACATATTTAAGATTTGGGTGGAATTAAAAAAGGAAGTGAAGAGTGGTATATGATGATCTCAGGTGATTTTTCTCTTTTGTACATAAAGTTGATACAAAAACATTTATCATCCTCTTGGTTTTGGAATATATTTGTGAGCAAAAACAATCCTTGTTGCTAGCTTTTTGTTGCTGGGTGTGGGGTAGAATTTGCAGAACAAGGCTTTGTTTACTCGTCTTTTTCTGTTCCTTTGCCTCATTGCAGAATATGCTCTTGTATTAGTATTGAATTTCTCTTTTGTAAACATTCCAAGAGAAACCCAAAAAAAAAAAAAAAAAAAAAAAAAGTTGTTATTAATTAATTCCCTCTTATTTTATTTCTTCTGGTTCTTAATTGTGTTCACGAACAGAGTTTTATTAAACGATTATTTGAAGAAAAAAAGAATCAGCAATCTTTCCAATTTCATGTTTAGGAATAAGGGTTTAGCCTCTATATATATTTTTCTCTTTTTCTTATGCCTTTCCTCTTTAGACAAGTGAAGCTTACATGAACCTTCTCTTCAATTGAATACTTGTCCCATGTAAAACATTCAAACGGTTGTCTTATCACTTTCTCAAACACACCAAAAACACTTTTACACTGCCTTTACCATTTCAATTTAATTAGAATATATGTTTTTCTCAAATAATTATTAATCATAGAAGAAATACAGAATTGGAGCGCACGCAAACATAGACAGATATGAGAGAAAGGAAGTGAAGAATGGTGGATTGATAGTCAAAAGAGAGAAAGAGAAAGAGAAAGTAACCCCACAAATGAAATTGAGAGTGAATGAGTTATGTCGTCCGTACAAAAGGAAAATGATTTTTGATGAAATAGGGACCATATATATATATATATATGTATGAGCGGCTGTTTTGTAGCTCCTTTTAGGAGATACCAACATTATGTTAACAACCACTTTTTACAAACCAAGAAACTTCCATTTCAAGGTAAAGCAAGAGCAAGTCAATTTGGATGGTGAATTTACCCACTTCCTCACTTTCCAAACAAATTCTTGCCACCCACTTTCTAGCATCCAATCTTTTTTTTTTTTTTTTTTTTTAATTTTAATTTAAAAAAAAAGATTTATATTCTTCTCCAATTTTAATAAATATATAACTAACTATATATATATATATATAAGTAGTTTACACTTTTTTTCTAAAAATGATTTGATAAATTGTCAATTTTTAATACTTTCTTTTATTGTCTTATATTTTTTATTAAAAAATTATAATAATATTAGAATATTATCATTGATGTGTGCATGTATAATTTAATTATTAAAATATATAAATTTTCATTAAAAAAATTTAAAATTTTGATACAATAATAAATTGTAGTAGGAAGCTAAACTTTATATTTTATACGAAAGAGACTTAACTCTATATTAATTAACTTATATATTGTATGATAATTTTTTGTTGTTTAGGTTCCATCTTGATATATTATATTATATTATATATATTAAATGTGTTTTTTTTTTTGTATGTTATCAGTGCGGTCTTATTTTATAAGAATTTTTTAGAAATTTTATGTTTTAGATGTTATGAAAGAGTAAAGATAAATATATTGAGATTTTTTTTTTTTATGTAGATGTAAGAGATAAAATTTATTATCAAGTCATCAATTTTATACATTAAAAAAAAAAAAATCATATGATCTCAAGTACCTGTTCTATCATATGTTATGAACTTTTTATTTATTACTTTTGTAAATTTGATCCAAAATAATAAATTATATGTATTTGTGATGAGTTTATCATTAGAAGTGCTTGTAGTTTTGTAATTGAACCAAAATTTAGATGTAGATTTATTTTATGTGTAAATAAAAATATAAAATTTAAAAAACTTTCACTTAAATCATTATTAAATTTGGCAAGCATGCAGAGATTTGTACTAGTTATGCTGATTATGTGATCCACGGCTATCAAAGTATATAAACCCAAATTTTGTAGCCGAAAAAAATTACAATAATATACAGTGAATTCTCTGTGTGTGTGTGTTTATATATATATATATAGTTTTTTGAATTCAATACATTCGTGAAGAAGTAAAATTTGCAGTCCAACCCAAATCCCATGGGCCATATGGACAATGTAAATATGTATGACTGAGCCCATTTATATAATCTTGAAGAATACAAAGAAGTAGCTCTCATTTTCCCAAGTTTTGTTTCTATTAACCACAAATTAATCGACTTCTTTAGAGAAAAATTGATGATGTTAGAATTTGAGGCACTAAAATGTTTTCATTACAAATCCAATGATTGATAATTTTCACTCTATAATAACGAAAGTGGTTTTCTACGAGAAAAAATTTTTTATTCTTTTCTTTTTTCCAGATAACTCAAATATAATCAAACATGAATCCGTAATTTAATTAAAAAAATTCATATCATATGAAGTTCAACGGAATGTATTAAATGAAATAAAGTGTTTTTTGTTTATGTTTTATTAATGGACGAGCAAACCAAAAAAATATATTTTTGAACTATTTACTTACACTATAGAATATATTTTAAATTAATTAGTTTTAAAATTGTATTGCTTTGTAGGTTACTGTAACCAAAGTAAATAAATATGTGAAAAAAGGGTGTAAATAAAATAATAATGATAATAATAATTTTCTCAATCGGTCGTCTTTTTGTTGTCTGGGGTCCAACAATTAGAAAAACTGCAACACGGAGAATTAAAGACCGACAAAATCTACATGAAGATTATATATATATATATATATCTCCAATGCGAACTTCTTTTTCAGATTCTTCTCTAACTCTAATCACCTATTTATTAGTAGTTTAAATATGATAATTACAAGAGACTTCAAAAAAATGAAATAAATTCTTTAATATTCACCTAATTATGCCTCAAAAATAATTTTTACTTTTAAAAATAAATAAATTACAAGCAATTCATGTCTGGGAGGGGTTTTTAGAAGCCCACCAAACATAATCTAAGGCTTTCCCACCCATCGTTACTTGGGCTCAAACTCATTTTGATGCTCAAAACCACATTCTCCCAAGAATGGAAATGATTTTTTTTTTTTTTTCCCTCTTCTCTTTCTTTTGCCCTTGTCATTCATTTAGTGGAAAATACACACTAAATGCTAAGGATTTGGAAGAAAAATTGATGTTTGGTGAGCCAAAAAGTATAAACAACACTTCTAGATATAGGAAAATGGAATTGTATTGATAATAAAGATTTACGTTGGTATTTATAGTAGGAGCATTACTTAGGACTATTTATAATTTTAACCCTAAATTGTGAGTATTTACACTTTTATCCCTATATTTGTGATAATTACACATTTGTCCACTCCAATAACACCATCCATGATTTTATGACGAACCACGTAACAATCAATTTCAATATATTTAGTACATTCATAAAAAAAAAAAAAAAATTTCTACTATCTTAATAGCTTATATGTTGTCACAGTATAATAGAACTGTAGAAACAGAAGCAATATGCATATCAATAAACAAACATAGCAGTCATTGAAGTTCACAAGTGACACTTGCAAGAGCATGATATTACGCCTCAGTTGAACATCGAGACATAGTAGATTGCTTCTTGGTCTTCCAAGAGACAAATACATCATCAAGAAACACACAAAATGCTATAAGTCACTTTCTAGAGTCTACACAAAAAACTCGATATGTAAAAGCCCAAAATTTTATAGAATGGAATGGTGAATTAATGAAATATAAGTGAAAGTAATTGAGAATTTAATATTTTTATTCCTTACACAGTAAATCAGAATACCCAATAGGGTTACAGGAATGTTCTTTAAAGGAGATTAAAATAATAGAAATGGAAATGTAACTAAAATCTTATAAGGTCAACCTCTGCAGGGCAACTCTGATGGGATGCGAGAGACAACCTTTAATCGCTAACTTTCTTGCTATTCAAGATCCGGATCTTGGTCTTCCTGATCTGAAATGGTTAAATAAAGGGAATGAGTTACACTAGCCCAGTAAACATATCAACACTTAACAACCGATACGAAAAACT